AGGGAATCTTTGGCTAGCTCAGAGTACAGGTTGAAAAAAAAAAAATCTCCTTTTTGCCCCAGGTGTGATTCATGCCTGTTATCCCAACACTCAGGAAGCTGAGGTAAGAGGATCATTGTGAGTTTGAGGCTAACCTGTGCTACATAGCGAGACCTACCCCCCCCCCCCGCAAACAAAAATGAAAAACAAAAACTCAAACCAGGTGTTGGAGAGATTGCTCAGGGTTGGCGAGATTGCTCAGCATTTAAGAGCACTTGCTAATTCTTCCAGAGGACCCGAGCTCAGTTCCTAGCACCCACATTGGGCAGCTTAGATCTGCCTGTAACAAGCTTCAGGGGATCTGACAGTCTCTTCTCACTTGCAGTGGTGCACACATAGGGACACATACCTAAAAATTAAAAAAAAGAAAAAAGCAAATGAAAACAATACAAAACAAAAAAATTTTTTAAGGAAAACAAATAGATAAACAAAAAGCTACAGAGGGAGACCCTGACTCAGAGACTCCCAGAACCCAAACCCAAACAAAATAAAACCCCAAACATAAAGACAATAACTGGAAAAAACAAAAAACAAAAAAACATGTTGAAGGAAAAAAACTACGAATCCACTTGGGCATTGGCTTTCTTCTACTTAATGACTGTTTGGCATTTATCACATTCAAAATGTGATTATTTTAGATAGGTTATGTGGGAAGAAAATTATGAGGTTAGCTTACCAACGTAATTAAAAGTAGTAAATTATTGGAAGTATTTTATTTCTTCAATAAAACCTTATTGAACATTGGACACTTGGAGCAAGGCAGTGAAGCATTGCAGTGAATGAGCCTTTGTTCTTATAGAATTCGTAGCTTATTGAAGGTAAGGATGAGAAAATGAGATGATAAATCCCATCATAGAAGAACTGTAGAACTTTAAGGGAATGCATAGGAAAGGGGTCAGTGTCGACATAAGGTGGACTGCTCTATACTTAATCTAAGCTAACCTGAAGGATTCATTTGGCCAAGACAAGGAGAGTAGGAAGTGTGAAGATAGAAGAGAAAGTGTTGGGCGTGTGATGAGCTACTGAAAGAGCAGAAGTGACGAGACCAGGGATGTGGTCATGGCTTGCCGGTGTGCTAAATCTGAGCAGGCGGACATCATTAGGGAGTTGTTGAAGGATTTTAGCCAGGAGGGAGTTAGCATGATTTATGTCTTTTCAGGAGAAGGCACTTTGGCTAACTACCATCTTGACCCTGGGACAGCTGTTTGGGGGACAGTCATTTGCCGAGTGTCTAAGGACCATAGCAGAGTCCAGAATACTGTACAGTTTGTCTTTCTATAGCATCTCAGATTGTCACTCTAATTTATGAAATCTTTCTTCATTTTATTTTTATAGCCTTGTTCACCTTATCACGAGGCTGGAATGTTCCCAACGAACAAAGTGTAATGTTTAGTATCTGTGGAGATATCAAGATGTATCATCCTTCTTTCAGTGTAGAAGTTGGTATGAAGTTTGCCTACCTAGTAGGCATTAAGTAGTAAATGCTTATTGATGTGAAAGGAATAGATATTGAAGAAAGAGGGGCTGGTTAAATCTTAGTTTCTTATGGCTTCTCTGCCTTTCCCACTATACAAAGTACATTTTTTATATAGTCTTCAAATTTATGAGCTTTCTGTTTTAGCAGTTGAGTGTCAAGACATAATAGAGAACAATGAAAAATTTATGCAGCTCAACAGTTATTCTTTTGGAATTAATGTAAAAAGATAATTTATAAATTTAAAAGATTTTATTTTGCTGTCTGCAAGGGAACTTCATTTTAGCTGAAATATCTGAGGATGATTACGAAGATAATCTATTTTAAAATACTTTTCAGTATCATTTTATTTAACTTAGCTTTAAAAATTCTTAATTCTTTGACAACTTCAAACACATATGCAATGAATTTTGGTCATTTATAACCCTTCTTTCCCTCTTTCAGCCTCTTCCTTCTCTGACTGAAACCCTTTTTCCCAACATAGCACATAATATTTTTATGATACAAATTGCTTATACAAAATTAAATTAGTATTACATAATTTACCTTTTGAAGCTAAATAACTATTTATTGTTAAGATTCAGAAATGGGAATTCAAGGACTTTTTTTTTTTTTCTTTTTTTTACCTTTTAGGGAGTACTTTTTGAGACAGGGTCTCCCTGTAGCCACGCCTGGCCTGGAACTTACTGTGTAGACCAGGTTGGCCTCAAACTCACAGAGATCCATCTGCCTCCTGAGTGCTAGGACACACCTGGCTTCAAGGCCTTTTTTTCAATTGTATTCCTTATTGACTTTATTCAGGTAATCAAGTTTTCCCATATTTTCCTAGTGGGAAGACCTTCAGGCAAGCTCCTTTCATGTGCTTCCTTCCATCTTTTCTTCAAGCACTTCTCTTCTTGGCCTCATAGGGTGATGGTCAAGGCTCATGTCATACCTTCCCAACCTAGCCCTACATTAAACTGCAGAAGAGCCCTAGTTCCTCATGTTGAGAATGGACAGTAGAATCCAAGCTGTGAGTGAGACACACTCATTGTTTCCCTCACAGTATGCTTCCTTGACTTCCCCAGGTCCTTTTTGTTCACAGTGAACACCCTGACTCCCAACTAACACCGTTACTCATTTCTTCCAAGCTGCAATGTATCTAAAAGCTTCAGAATTATTTTCTCTATTGTGTGCATTTCTTTTTCCTGGGCTCCCACACTGAGGTGATTCTGTGTTCAAAACTAGATCAGTCCTCCACTCCCATAGATGATGACTGTTTAATTTTCTTACTTGCTTAGATTTTAACTATGTATGTAGCAAAGACCTTTTCTCATATATGTACTATAGACATGTAAAATGTGTGGAATATATTAATGTTTTGCCCTGCATTTAATATTTTTCATTATAAACTTTCAGCAAAGCTAAATGAAATGTAAAGAATAAAGGTATAGTCTTTTTGTATATTTCATTTTCTTAGAGACTGTTCCTCTACTTCATTGTCTTTTACTCAGAATAATAGAAGCATCTCTGCTATTAATGCTATATATGCATTTCTGAAAATCCTTAATTCTTAAAACTCATGCTGCTAAAATTACAGAGATTATAAGGGAAATAGAGCTTAGAACAGGTCATTAGAAATTGGTGGGATTTTATAAACAGACCTAGGAAAATAGTAATAGTAAAAGATAGCCCTGTTAAATCTGTACAGGCATTTGTGCCTGGCATCTCAGTAGGTCTTGACCTTAAACTCTGGTTTTCTTGCTTTGAGTTGTAGGTTGTATAATCACCCACTGCTAACACAGACCAATTTCATCCAACTTAAAAATCTGTCCTTACCTGTGGCTGGAGAGATGTCCCAGAAGTTAAGAGTGCCCATGTGGTTGAGTGACTTAAACTGCCTGAAACTCCAGCTCCATGAGAATTTGGCCTCTGTGGATACCTGCACTCACATCACACACACACACACACACACACACACACACATACACACACACATGCACATGCACACACACAGATATATACATAATTAAAAATAATTAAAATAATTAAAAATCTGCTGTAAGGTATTGCTATATAAATTTTATTTTATCCTGAATACAGAGGACACATCTTTGCATTTCCTTCTTTGTCTCCTCAGCTTCCTCAGACAACTGCATAATAGAAAATCCAGAAGCCACTAAAAGAGACTTCTTCATAATGTGAGAAAACACTGGATGGTATTCGAACCTTCCTGTTCTGGAGAAATTGTGTCTAAACAAATTTAGCTTTCATATTATGTTGGCATTGTTTTCTTAGATATGAGCTAATTTACATGAAAGTAATGTCTGTTGTAATAAAACTATAATATCAATTTTGCCTTAGTATATTAAAATATTGATGTACCTATTATTTAAATCTGACTTGGGGACTGGAGAGATGGCTTGGTGCTGATTAGGAGTGTGTACTTCTCTTGCAGAGGCCCTGAGTTCAGCTCCTAGCACCCATGTCGGGTGGCTAACCATGACTTTTAACTCCATCTTCAAGGGGCTCCTGAGGCCTTTGGCTTCCTCAGGCACTTGCACTCACATGCCCCCCCCCCCCCTGCACAAATAAATCTTTAAACAAATTCCAGCTTGGAAAAAATAGAAGATAAAAATTCTTTTTGAAAATCAATAGTTAATCATTTGAGGTCAGAGTCTTCATCTCTTGAGCTTTCATTTTTTTTTTTTAAAGATTTTTTTTTTTAAATCTTTATGCATATGTCTGTGTGAATGTGTGTCAGGGCCCAAGAGAGCATCAGATCCCTTGGAACTGGAGTTATAGGCAGTTGTGAGCCACCCTACATGGTTGCTGGGAACCAAACTCAGTCCTCTGGAAGAACAGTAAATGTTTTTACCTATTGTGCTATTTTTCAAGCTCCTCTTAAGGTCTTTGGATGATGATATATACCTAATATTTCACATAAACAGGTTAATAGATATGCAAGGTCAAGTTATTTTCAAATTGGAATGTCAAACTGTAACCACACGTCCTTTGTAATGACTTACTGCATGCATACCATGATTTGCATACATATATCTGACCATCTAATCGTTTCAAGTTTTTTAGTGCTGTAAATAATAATGTGTTAAAAATCCTTGATCGATCTTTGTACCTCCAAAAGAAATTCCTGGGTGTGTACTTTGTGTATCAGAAGTTTTGTTCCCGGGGGGGGGGGGGGAGGGGGGGGGGCTGGAGTGATGACTCAGCTTTTAAGAATACTGGCTGCTCTTGCAGAGGACACAGGCTTTCTTCCCAGCACTTACTTGGTGGTTTATAGCCTTCTGTAACTCCAGGTCCAGGGGATCTGACACTCTCTTCTGGTTTCTAGACACTGTACTTACACAGTGCACATACATACATGCAGACAAAACACTCATACACATAAAATAAAAATAAATCTAAAAATTTGTTCCTGTAGCATTTTGGTACAGATTGCCATATTTTGTTCAATAATTGTATCCTTTTGTATTCCTAGGAAGGCATGCGAAAGTCTATTCTCTACTGAGTACTGTCAGTTAAAAAAATTTTGTCAGTGTAATAGCCTATAAAAGGTGAGATTTTGTTTGTATTTGTACTCGTTTTTATCAGTGTGGTTCAGTATCTGTTTACATTCTTACAAGCTCCATATTTTGCCTTCAATGGACTGTCTTTTATATACGCCCTCTTCTCCCTTTAGTCTTTTGTCTTATTGTTTAGAAGAATTGTAGAATTTAGAGACCCTGACCTTCTGCTACTAATATATGCCGCAGTTTCAGACTGAAGAGATGACTCACTGGTTAAGCACACATACTGTTCTTGCAAAAGACTGGAATTCAGTTCCTAGCACCCACGTGGGTGGCACATAATCGCCTGTAACTCCGTCTCCAAGAAGATCTGATGCCTCTGGCCTCCATAGGCACCTGCATGCATGTACATGTCCCCACACAATACCCACACATGTACATAATTAGAAATCAAAATATAAAATAGTTAAATTTTATATATTTATATATAAACCTCTGGTGTCATTCCTCAATTTTTCAGATACCTTGGATTTTGAGACAAGGTCTTTCATTGGCCTAGAACTCACCAATTAGGCTAGTCTGCCTGGCCAGCAAGCTCAGGGATCTGCCTGTCTCAGCTTGCACAGTAGTGAGTTTACAAGTGGCTTGGCTTTCTTAGATGGATGCAGGGGATCAAATTCAGGTCCTTATGCTTTGCACAATAAGCACTTTGCTCACTAAGTTATTTTCCCATGTTCCTATAATACAGTTTCTTATACCAATTTCCTTTTGATCTTACTGTATTTAAAAACATTTGTAGGGTACTGAGACTTACCCTATGCCTTCAAAGCCCTGTGCCACTGAACTGTAGCCCCGGGCCATTTATTTATTTGTTTGTTTGTTTGTTTATTTATTTATTTATTTATTTATTTTGCTTTTTGAGACAGGGTCTCCCTTTAGCCCCAGCTGTCCTGGAACTCACTGTGTAGACCAGGCTGGCCTTGAACTCAGAGATCTGCCTGCCTCTGCCTCCCAAGTGCTGGGATTAAAGGCGTGCAGCATCATGCCTGGCCACAGCCCATATATTTAAGTTTGTATTTTTCATTTATGTTTTCTAACTTTCCACCCTTCAAGGACTGTTTTATGTTTTTATTATTCCATTTAGTGTTTCAATTATCTGGAATTCATGTTCTTATATTGATTTAAATAAATATCTAGTTTTTATTTCCTCCTCCCAATTGTAATCATTATTTGTTAATTTCATTTCCTCTCAATATGCTAAATTTCTTTGTGTTCTTGGGTCATTTGGGCTTTTTTATGGATCTGTTATTTTTTTTAAGTCTGAGGGGAAAAAAAAAATTGTTCCCAAGCTTAGAGGGTTAACACATTTATTATCTCTCAGAGTTTCCATAGGTTACAAATGTAGGAGCAGCTCAGCAACACAGATCTGGTTCAGGATCCCTCTCAAGCTTGATGCTGTTACCCCAAGTCGTTGTCACCAGAAAGTTATCCTGAGACTGGGGAGATGCCTGGAAGGTTGCTCACACTCCATGGTTGGTTAATGGGTGCTGGCTGTTGGTGGGAGGGAGGCCTGGATTTCTCTTCACTTGAGCCCCTCGCCAGCTGGATGTTCCGTGACAAGGTGTGCTAACTTATATACAAGTGTTGAGTCGAGAGAGCAGGAATGCCTGGAAGGAATATTTTTCATGAGTAGTATCAGAAATCATACAGTATTGCATTCTTTTTGCTAGAAGACCACTGAGTTTAATTCACTGTCAGAGGAGGGTATTTGGCTTTACATTTTGAGTAAATAATAAATAAATTTATAGTAAGTAAATTTTGAATTTTGGATTTGACCATAGGTTCACCCTCCTCCCAACTCTGTACTAATAGAAGTTTTACTTACATCATACTCATAGGATGCCACATAATACCACACTGTGCTGTATTTGAAAGCTACTGCATCTCACTGTTTCACTGGTCAGGTTTCTAAAAATATTTATGCAAAATAATATTGGTAATCTGCTGACATTTTAAGTTGTGTTATCTCCGACTTCTCCTACTTCCTGGTCTTATATAGTTGGGATCATTGTATTTCATTGCCTATGTCTGCTTAAGGCAGTCTTAGAAATTATTTTATAATATTTTCTGCTTCCATGAGTAATTCTGAATGTTTTGACTGACAGATACATAATAATTTATGGGCACTGCATGTTGATGAAATTCACAGGTTTTGAACAAAACATTTTCACAGGTATCTTGAATGAACAGTATCTTCTAATATAAGGGCAAATATGCAAAAATCAGAACAAGGCATTTTTATATGGGGAGTAATCTCAACCACATTCCAGCCCCATATGCTCTGATACTCATCAGAGTCTCATTATAATCCTTGGCCTTTCTGTGCAGCAGACACTTGAGTCTGGGTAGTGCTGTGTTCCATCTGTCTGGGTCTCCAGGCTTCACAGTGTGAGCTTCTTTGTACTGTGACCTCTTGGCTATATTTATTTAACTTATATTGCCACCACAGCCTTTGCTGCTACTTGAGCAAGTGTATGCCTGTGTTTTCAGGTATATGCATTTGTGCTTTTAAGTTTATAGGACCCCAGTCACTACCAAGGGGTTTTGTTGTTGCTTTTGCCTTAAGCTGCATAAATCTCTTCCATTGGCTTGCATCTTTATCCAGTACTAAGCCTGCCTACTGCTGGGTGAGCTCCCTGTGGACCTTCAGCTGTCATAGATGGGCTTTGGGCACCCTTCCAAATTTTCCAACTATGCTTTGGACAGGTTTTGTTTTTGACAGACTAATCAGGATCCTAATGTCCTTCCCTGCTGCTGGAGTCTATGTTTCTAATTTTGATATTTCTCATTTCATCAAGACTAATATCAGACCCTGGGCTGGAGTAAGTTTGCCAGTTATATGGCATTTCTCAGTCCCAGTTTTTTGGGAAACACTTCCTTCCTATTTTTGTTTCTTGGGATCTACTGGCCTAAGATTTGAGGAATCTTCCTATTCTCTTACTTAAAATGCTGATCAAAAGAAAGGTCACATTGTTGCTGTTGTTTCTTGATGAAAATTTGAGTTGATGCTTTATATTCACTTTTAGGTATAAAGAAAGCAACATTTTGAAGCCAGTAGAGGATTATCAGGAGTCCCTGGAAGCATGCTTTCCCCCATATCTCTGTGTGGCCTGTATGCCTGTATGTATACTTGTTTATATGTGCATGGGTGCATGTGTGTATGTGAGTGTATGTTTGTGCAGGTGCACAGGGTGTGCATGTGTGTGGAGGTTTGAGGTGTCATTGGGTACCTTACTTGACTTCTCTCCACCTTATGCAATCAGGCAGGGTCTCTGGCTGAACCTGGAGCTCGCTGTTTGGTTAATCTGGATAGCCAATTTGCTATGGGGATTCATGTCTCTGTTTCCTGTCCACTGAGATCACAGGCCGGCTTCCATGCCCACTCAGCTTTTATGTGGGTTCTGGGTATGGCAAGGTTTTACTGAGCCATTGTCCCAGCTCACAACCATGCTCTTAAAAACAAGCAGAAAAATAAAAGCAAAACAAAGCAGACAGTGCATTGTACTTACTGTTGATCTTTAAAGCACCCCTTTAACCATTCTCAAATAGGACAGCAGTTGGGTTGCTGTGAATGATATCTAAGTGATCTGTATAACAGCCAGTGTGATAGAGTGGGCTAAAACGTGTGTTGGTAAGATAGGTAAGGAGAACAAAGCTCATACTTAGAGATGGTAATTCTCTAAGTATGATAAAACTTGTGTGTCATTTGTTTCTATGGCACTTTCCCATGGCTCTTATTACTGCCCAGTCTTGTTCATTTTGTGCCTGTCTTGTCCAGATTCTGACTGTTATAATCTTATTTCCCTTGTCATACCCTCATTTATTTAAATTTTCATTACACTTGTTTATTTGTTTATTTACATATTTGTTTACATGTATGTGGGAACATGCATGCATACATGTGGAGGTTACAGGATAACTTGTGAGGAGCCTGTTCTCTCCTTCTGCCATGTGAGTCCTGGGGACTGAACTCAGATCGTCAGGCTTGGTGTCAAGTATCTTTATCCACTGAGCCATCTTACCAGCCCTGTTTCTCCGTTTTGATTTTTTTTTTTTTTTTAAAGATTGTTTAGTTTTTTGGGAATAGGTGATTTTTTTTTTTTTTCCATTACAAGCTCTATTTTTTAAAGCCTGTTTCATGCATTACCCAAATACTAAATAATGTAGTATTTTATTTTCTGGATCATCTTCATTTAATTTTTTTTTCTTTACAGCAAGCCATTTATTTAAAAAAATTCAGAAGGTTTTATACATTACAAGGAACTGGCAGTCACATGGGGTTTGGCAGTTACATACAACGATTTAGGACATATAGCACAAAGAAACAGGACATATAGCTTTGACTATTTTTTTTAAAAAAAGAAAACATTTGTGGCCAATACATTACCAGATAGGCACTGGTAACCCTAAGTAAAAGTTCAAGAATCCTATAATGCATATTAGCTATTTTGTTTAAGTATTCTTAATAATCAAGTAATTTTCCTTACTAATTCAAAGTATTGCTTTGTGAATAAATAGGTTTATGGTGATATAGTCCAAAGTCCTCTATTTGCTTTGGTTGGCCTGTTTCACTTGTACTTGTATTTAAATTGTCATATGTTAGGTTAAAATCTGCATTACCTTTAGTCTCTACTTAATGACGGTGGTTCTGCTTGATGTGTTATTTAGGAAAAGATAGAGCACACAGTGTTGAAATTCAAACTTTGAGGTTATTGAAATTTACAGTATTTGCAAAGCTGCTCTTTGCTAATGGTTACCATTTAATTGGTTTTTTTTTTCCATTCAGTAAAAAGCTACTCACTGCCCTATTAATTTTTATAGTAAAAAAATTATTTTTTTCAGAATCTATGGCATTTTAGCAGCAGAAGTTGGAGATTGGGCTTTTGTTGTAAACATTGTCAGATGGTGGCTATATGGGAGACATAGGCTGAAGTTAATATTTAGTGGTGGTCTGAAACAGCTCTCAGACAAGCCAAGTGAGGTGTTATGATTCTTGTTTTATATGGTTTCCAAAAAGCTGGTCAACCTGTGTTCTTAATACCTCAAATATAATTTTTTTCTTAGAATTACGTTTTCCTCTTTTCTAAGACATATACTAAATGTTAATTTATTGTTCTTTTATTTCTAGTACTTTAATGAAAAACAGACAGAAAAGTCATAAAAATTTTATAATGAACACTTTTTTGTGTATGTGGTGTATGTATATGTTTGTGTGCATGTGTGAGGGTGTAAGTACATGTGCATGCATGTGGAGGCCTGAGGTCGACCTTGGGTATCTTTCTTGATCATGTTTCACCTTAGTTTTTGAGACTTGAGTCTTTCACCGAAGCTGCAGCTCATTGATTTGGCTAGGCCGACTGCTGACTGGCCAGTGAACTCCGGGGATCTGCCTGTCTGCATTCCCCATTGCCCCCACTGCTGGGGTTAGTGATGCTCACTGCTGTGCCTGGCTAGGATGAACCATCTTAAGCTAACCATCTTCAGCACCATTCATTTTTGTTAAATTCTCTTTATGCTTTTTGTTTGGTACAGGTCTAGTCCTTATTTTCTTTTTCTTCTCTTGATAACTATGACCTGATTTATTCTTGTCTAATTCTGGCACTGTCATATGTTTCCTTTAGTCAGTTTTGTGTTTTTGTTTTTTAAATAGAGTTTTGCTTTGTAATCAAGGCTGGCATTGAACTCATTATGTAGCTTAGGCTAGCTTTGAACTAGTGGCAATCCTCCTGCCTCAGCCTTCCAAATGCTGGGTATAGTAGGTGTGTGACACCATTTCCTGGTATCCGCTTTTTAAAAAAACTCATAACACAACAGTACTGAACATTTATTTGGCATTCCCTAATTCTTGTCAGCTGGTCAATAGTAATGATTGTCCCTATTCAGTCAAATTTTGCAATTGGGTAAAGTTCAAAGTATCGCTGGGTTTATCAGGTGTCATATAACTTAGAAGGTAGACTTCATGGTTTTGTGTGTGTAAGGAACATCTGTGACTCTTACACTTTGGTTTACTATTGCTTATGGGGCGCGCTGGGCGCCAGGTGTGAGGTGCGCGGGTACCTCGGGGTCCCCGCGCACACCTGGAGTGTCGCGGCGCGGGTCCCGCAGGCTTCTCCGCCGTGCCGCGTCCTGGAAGCGGCGGATCTGGCCACAGGTGGGTCTGCTTCTCTGGTCGTGCGTCGCTGTCCGCCGCTTCGGTGCTGAAAGTCCCTGCTGCTGAGGTTTTGCTCAGCCGCGTCTCCACCCTGATTTCACCCGAGCACCTTCCTCAATAGGCGAGTTCCACCGGCCTCTGGAACACCTCCTCAATATGCGAGTTCCACCGGCTGCTGGACCATGCGGGAAAGTACGGGGCAGCTGAAGCTGGGATCCGTGAGTCGGTGCCGAAGGAATGCTGTCCCCGGGAGAGGCTGGATCGCCAGTAGTAAGTCCGTGAGTCGGTGACGGAGGAATGCTGCCCCCCGGAGAGGCTGGA